TGTTATGTTACATGCCTTTTATTTGGTTTTGATATTTACATATCTTTCACATGCAGATATGGCATATAGCTTTGCATGATATTTTAGCTATTACAATGTTCAATATGTGTCAACTTTTTTGTAGAGATGATATTGTATCTGGTAAAGCACACCTATGGTCTCCTACTGGGTACACCCCTTTTCGGTCGGATGAATTTCCAATTCTTATCCACATGAATGATTTTGTTGCCTTTTACTTCGGCGATTATTGTTATGTTGTCTGATATAAATTTCACTGTAACCACTAATCTTGTTACTTTTGAGTTTACTGCTAGTTCAACGATTTTTTAGGAATACCTTATACCTCAGTATCCTGTTTATTTTTCGTCTGATGTTTGTTTAATTTGAGAAACTTTACCTAATACCTACCAAACATCAGTTCTCATATGTACTTTCTGTTACCATGCTTCATTTTGTCTGGGTATTGCTAGTAGGAGCATAGTGCTATATTATTTTTGCTAGTTCGTATATCTGAATATCTTTATAAATCAATACACTTTTCCACTGAAAAATGTACTGTTTAGGCTCAATTTTAGCTTATAGCTTGTTTTTAAATTGAAACTCATGCCTTGGAAACCTAGGCATATTCATTATACCATTTTGCACAGAACTATTCCAACTTACTCTGACCACCTTGTTGTTGTTTAATTTTATTTGTTTCTGAGAGGAAACTTCTTTTTCTTCTCATAGGTGCTATTAAGTTCATCATAAAGGTCGAGTGGAATTGCATAGTTTAGTATGATAAGTAGCGTGGCCAGATCTAATAATCAACATTGGTGGTCTTTGAAATTTTTTGGAACATGAAGCACAATATTCCCAGAGCAGCACTTTCATGGAATTGCATCATGGGTTTAAAGATTATAAATTGCAGATTATTTTCGCTATGAATTGCCACCAGTTATCTTGTCTTTGCTTGTATATTGTTGCTATAAACGAAAATCATTTCAGAAGCGTTAAAGTTCTATCTACGAAATGCTAGACAGTAGGATATAAGGTTTCAGCCAGGCTTTCAACTATGTTCAGCCAATGATAGTGATTCTGACATTGTAAATTCATGTTTTTGTTTTTGAACCATATTGAAGGATCAGAATCCCGAAGGCTTTTCTTTGACATTCCAATTTCAATGACTTCTATAGGAGACTGTTGAAGGATAGAAATATTCTTTATGTTTGTTGTCCTCTTTGCAATGCTACCACATAACATTTGAGTTTGAAGTGGTTAGAAGGACAATGACTATAGCTATGCAAATGCTTGTTTGTTGTGTTTATTGTTGGTTATCACTGACTAAAATGTATTTATTGGAAAATTTCTCGTGAGTCGCTGACCTGAAGTCGCACATGTATCCTTGTAAAGCTTGGAATATGCAATGAAATATAATCTTGTGTACATTTTTCATCCATCCTATATGCCCTTGAGCTTAGTCTTCATCTGTTGGTCAACAGTTAGAAATTCTCATATGATGCTATACAGAGATGACATGGAAAGAAGTGCCAAATTGTTGGCTCACCATCTGTTAGGTGGATGTCACATCATCATGACATGGATGCCAGGATGCCACATTATCCTCGGCACCAATGTGACATCCATATGGTGACATACAGAGCTGACATGGCAATGGGTGCCAATTTTTTGTTCACCATGTGTTAGATGGATGCCAAATTATCATGACATCGATGCCACCCTACCACATTATCATCTTGTGGATGCTACATGATATGATGTAGCAACAGTCATTATGTGAGGGCCTGAACATCAGCACCCAATTTCTTTTTGTGGTTAAGGTCAAGTCTTCTTTTTTGGCATAAGTTGGTCATTTGACAATACATTAGATGGGTATAACTTGGGTTAAAACTGACATGGGATAACATGCGGAAACAACAAGAATTACTTGTAGGGTATCTAAATTTTGTACGAATAATTTACCAATACTTTTAGGGTGTGGTGGACTCTTTATACATGTGGACATCTTGCAAACATCTTAGTCAAATCAAATTAGCAGATCTGATGAAAGATTAATATTCATGTTATATATACTTTTATTTGATATTGATCTGATATTTTATTTCATGTAATAATTTAGCGTGATATGTGGTCAAGTAACACTGTTGATGTATACATGAACAGTTCTGGAATATGTCTCCAAGTTAATTGGGGACTAATGTATCTGTAAATTATTTGTGAAAATTTACAAAATTTCTGGAGATTTTGACACTTTATTTCAATTTTCAATGGAAATTGTTTATTGTTATCCTTTACTCGACTGGGATAGACAATATATTTCTGATTAGCAATTTTTACTAAAATTTTGAATTATTTTCAGAATGAAGACTTGGAGAATAAACATGTGAATGATTCCAATTTTGTGGCAGATCTGGATCGGAAGGACTGTGTTAGCCTTCCAGGAGATGCCACCATTTTACTGGATGAGGTACCTTTCACCAACATGGTCGAGTTTGTTAATGAACCTGGACAACAGATTAATCCAACTCCCATTGATGACATGGAAAAGAAGCCTCTCATTGAAGATTTTGCACATTATCATACTCGTCCAAATGACAAGGATGAATACGTGGAGTTGGATGACCTTGCAGATTCTGCAAATGTTGTGTACCCCTTCAGTGAAGAATATGGTTTTCCTATAAAAGCTTGCCATGCTAAGAATATGCATGGGGCAGGTGGAAATAGCAACTTACAGAAGATACTTGATGTTGAGGAGTTCTTTGACACAATGAGCCAAAATTCCGATCATTTAGAATCACTCCAGATGTCCCCAGTGCAGGAGAATTTCTTTGTCCAACCAAATGATTTGAATCCTTTAGCCGAGGGCTGTCCATCCAGTCAACAGCTTCAAGAGAAAACGGTATTCTATGATGCACCTAGTGACAATCCATCATTCAGGCATGAAAATGCTCCAGTGAATGGACTTCTGTACTTACCCGCCTATAACCCATCTGGTTTTGAGATGGTTGATGACTTGCTAGCTTACTTTGATGCTACTGATGGTAGTTTACATCATGACACTATGGGTTTTACAGGAAGACCAGAGTGTATCAATTCATCTGATCAGTCCACCTTTACTGGAGAGGTAAGAGCCGGCAGACTGTCATATATATGGAAACTTTTTTTAATGTCTATGAAATACCTTTTGTTTTCTTTCCATGTATAATAGGTTGATGGCAGCAATTGCCCAACAAGTAAGGCAACAGCACAGGTGCTAGATATAGATACTGTGGGTGGAGCATCATCATCAGCTTCATCTGTAGCTTATAAGCAGTCTAAGGGCAATTATGAGGAGGTTGCTGTAAGACCAGGTATGGCTGTGTTCTTTCGTCGGTGGTGGTGGTAAAACTATAAAAAAAAAACATAATCATATTAACTACTCCTATTATGTTTCTATTACTCTGCAAATTCGTGGATTAATTAAGTTCCAATTTCCTCCTAATCTCTCCGAAGTTCCCCTTATGTTTTATTATGTATCATATTTTTCCCATTAAACTGTCATATTCTCGGTAGATTCTGGATGTCTTTAATGCACTATTAGCTTATTTAGTGATGGTTGGTTGCATAATTGTCTGATAGTTGAACTGTCACCATTACACGATAAATTGGCTTCAGCTCTCTGCAGCTTAGTTAGACTTGTTCATACCCTAAAAGTTCTTCCAACTTCTTGGTGCAGATGTCCAAATGAGTGATGCCAACGACAAAACTGTTACGAAACATCTGTTGAACATGTTGGGCTCAATCCCTGCGCCTCCTGCATGTGCTGCTGAGTTTCCTTCTGGGTCAGGAAAGTCTGTGGCACAAATCCCTGGAAACCACTCAGCCAGTTCAATCCATGTCACAGCTGGGTTTTTTCACATTTGTGGTTCAACTATGTCAGAAAATGCTGGCTACTGGTCCTTGCAGAAGAATGGACATGTGGATCTCATCCTTTCCTACAACAGTATGGCAGATAATCTAGTCAGAAAAACTGTGGGCCCTGGATGTATCGCAAAGAATCAGGTTGATGTGGTGTCGGTGATGCTTCGAGTTGGCTTATATGTTTTCTTCCTTTCAGCATTGATTCTTACAATCAGCCATAAAGTGGGAATGAGTATTTGTGGAAGGTAAGTCGGCTTTTATCCCAGTGACAGTTTACCTGAAAACTATGTATGCTCGTGTTCGGGGATTATGCAATGTATGTGTCTTAACTTGGAAGTGTAGCTGGTTCAACAATACCATTTTGATAGAAGCTGGTTCAAAAATATGTAGAGGATTACATTGTATTTGGTTGTAGGTAGCTCCACAATGTTTAACAGGACATCATTTTCTGGTTGAAGTATTGCCTAATTGGCAATTCCTTAAAGCCTTAATGTATGAGACTGGGTTTACTCCTCTTCACCGGCCAGTTGCATCTCTGTGCCTGGGTAATTAGGATGTTGGAGGGGATGTTGTTTACCTTTACAGTTGAAATGGCAAAAGCAGAGTACCTCACAAGCTTTATTAATGGGAACTTGGGAGTGATCTTTCCTTACACCTTTGCTTCACAAGCTTATTACTGATCACGGAGTTCGGCTTTGCTGACTGTTTGTGTACCTGTATTCCTTGAATGGAGAATTCGAACGCAACAAATCATTATGGCATGTGTGGCTTACATTGAAAGAAACTCTATTTCTCTGCGTTGTGTTCGTATGTGACGTGAATCGTGCCAAATTGACCTTAATTCATAATATTTGAGCCATCAAGATTATCCCTATGAAATGGGCTTTTAATTATGGAGATAAAAACTACCTAAGTTTACCTTACGATCTTACTTTAAATCATTTCCAATGAGTGTAAGCGCAACTAACCAAATCGAAGTCAATTTATTCACAACTGTCTTAGTCGCAGCTCAGCTGTGTTGTAGTTCTCTACTCTGGAAACAGAGAGTTAGAGAGAGAGAGAGAGAGAGAGAGAGAGAGAGAGAGAGAGAGATGCGGACACCGGCTGACACCAGCAGCACTTGTAGTCTTGAGAGGACCGCTTCCGGTTACTGGTAATGGTGGATCTCCGTATTCTTTCCGTCTAATTCTCTTCTCGTTGTCTCAAGGAGAAGAAGAACAATGGATCCCGTGGGGGAAGACATTGGTCACAACAACAACATCGACAACAACACTAACAGCAATCGCCAGTTCACCCCCGCCGCCTCCGTCGTCAAAGGCAAGAGGACAAAGCGGCAGAGGCCAGTCACAGTGGCCGCCACCGTCCCGGCTTCTTCGGCCGAGCTTTCGAGCAGCCCCATCGAGGACGACGACGAGAACATGGCCAACTGCCTTATCCTCCTCTCTCGGGGTCACTTGTCAGACACTGAAACGACGGCGGAGGAAGCCATCACCGAAGCCGCCACGGCGACCCAGGCGAAGGCCGGGTTCTGCTTCTACCGGTGCAAGACGTGCGACAGATGTTTCCCATACGTCCAGGCTCTCGGAACAAGAAGCCGAAGGTTGCACCCCTCCACGAAGACGGTCCTCGAGTAAGCATGGATTCCATATGCGGGTCGGAGTTCTTGACCGGGCAGGCTCTCGGCGGCCACAAGCGGCGGCACCGGCCCATAACAGCGGCCGAGTCAACCGAAGCCAAGAAGGACAAGAACGTCCTCTTACTGGACCTTAATCTCCCTGCGCCATCGGACGATAACTGCGACGGGTTGCCGAAGTCGCCGTCATCCGTGGCTTTTTCTCTCATCGTCGGCCTTAGTGGATCGCCATTACTGCTAAACAACGAATCCGTTTTCCTTTTCCTTGCAAACATGATTCTTTGGGTTCTTTGACTTCATTTCTTTTCCCGTAGATATGTTGTGGATGTCATGAGAGAAGACAATTAATCGTTCTCATGACAAGAGAAAGAGTGCAAAGGACACTCCATCAAGCGACAAAGAGGAGAAGAGTGTGAGCGTTTTGCTTCTCCACCACCAAGGAAAAGTTATGGGTCTGATTTGCCTTCAAGCCAACCTCTCTTCACATTGAATGCCAAAGGAACAAAAGAAGAGTCGAAGAACACGCACACACTTGCACTCGATAGAACCGCAGAAGGTATCTGTACGCTTGTACGTATCTCCTCTGTTGGGAGGTCCAAACGTACTCTTAGCCCAACACATCCCCACAACATTACATGTTAACGATGAGAGTGGATCACAGAAGATTGAGCACGACTTGGCAAAGAGACACCTGAAGAGCAAGTCAGCGCGCAGATACCTTCATTAAATAGTCCAACGAATTTAATGCTCAGTGACTCAATCTAATCGTTGGTGTCAGTGAAGTGCACGTTTTGGCATGGAGGGGGAGAAGTCTGACATTGTGACATGGGGAGAGGATCACCTTCCCTTCACTATCCATCCACTACCTTCTCTAGCTTTGCGTTCAATGGAGTTGCAGACTCTCAAGGAGATCAACATGGCACCCTCTTCTGGAGAGGGTACTTTTGACCTCAGGATTTCAAAGACGACCAACTTAGACGAATGATATGTACCATCAAACAAATCACTGAAACATATTTCAATTTCGTACTAATTAAATTGTACACCCTGAAGCCAACCACGACACATTTCTTTCCTTTCCTATGAAAACAATATGGAGTGAAGAATACATCACAGAACAGATTGGACATGCTGCTATTGCGTATGCGTTACTTGCTTTATTCCTTTTTGTATTGAAGTCAGGGGACAATTTCATCTTCTAGGAGGAAGAAACAGCAGGAGACTGGGTAATGCCAGCGATCATCTTGAGTGAAAGGCAAGGCTGGTCCACTGGTACCTGTACAGAGGAGATCACAGTTTGTACTCAGAAAAAGCTTTCATGTGTTCTTGCATGTTGTTGCTTCCATTTTGAATCTTTCATATGCAAGAAACTAATTCAATCTCACAGATGAACATGTACTGCTAAGAGAAAGCATCCAACATGTGGCTGGAGACCACTGTTTGATTCACTAGATGTGACAAAGAACAGCAGGCGAAACCCATGCAGAAGAAAGGGGATACATGCAGAGTGCAGAGACAAACACAAAAGACTTTCGAAAATTGAGATTGCTATGTCAATGTAAATGTTCCAGATGTTATGTAAACAAATAAATAAAGATTGTTATGTCAAATTCCATTACCAAAATTTTGAGAGAGAACATTTCAGATATGTTGGCTGGACAGCATAAATATCAGATAGAAGTAGTAAAAATAAAGAAGACTCACAAAATGTCCTGCTTTAAGGATCCAGTAGAAATGCAAGTTCTTGTAAGACTTGAGGAAGCCCTTGGTGACTCCAGGTTCCTCAGTAGTGCAGTATAAAGGTGTTCTATCAATGCTGTTAAAATCCTTTAGCCCTTCCCATCTGAAAAATAATAGGGAGAAAAAACCTTCATGAACTAAAGTAAAGACAATGTTTCCAGCCAAGGATTTGAAAGGAGAACATAGAAGTGGATAGATTAGAAGTGGTTTATGATGCTCACTTCAGCTTTTGAACCCATGCCTCAGTGCCCTTAGTTGCACAAATCAGATCAACCTACATGGAACAAAAATCAAGTGCATGCAGATGGGTTATACTGCTGTTTACAAGGGAATTACTTTCCATAATCATAGCAAAAAAACTAACACAAATCAAGAGGAAAACTGGATGTATCATATTTATTTGGCCTAATAGTTGGTACATCTTTTCCTCCAGAAGTAGATCTGTGCATGCAGATGGAGATTGAAACATTAGTAAACTATGCTCTGTACTCTAAAATCCTCCACCTGTTGAATAAATAAGCCCAATTGTGAGCCACTTGAATTATTGTCCAATTCTTCTTGGTCAAAATCGACAGTACTGCCAGTAAGGATCAGTACTGCAGGTGATGGGCTTTTCTCCCTTCAGACTTCTCAGTAACTCATCAATGAACTCAAATTTTAGTTCATGCATTTCTTCCCCCACCATTCTTGATGATAAGACCTAAGCCATCAACCAAAACACCTTTTCACTAAAGATGTTCTTATGGCTCCCAGAAACTTCTCATTCAAAGGCCTCCCTCTTTTAAGAAAGCAATTGGGACCAACAGAGGATGTTCATTTATCCTTTTATCTTTTGTTCTCATCACATGTTGGTTTCATTGGAATCATCAGATATGAAATGGTTAAACAGGAAAAATCCAATGAAAGGGTGACAAACAAGAGATTGATTTTATCTACTGCCATTTGATCCTCATTTAATAATTGGAAGATTGATTGGATATGGATATCTCAAAGGTCTTCCTCACTAAGTGGACAAATTTGACCAAGCTGTGAGGATCATAATAAGAAAATCATTTTGGGCTTGTCAAAGTTTTCTTTGTAGGTCTCTGAGAGCCAACATGTAGAGAAAATGGTGGGCAATCCTTACCTGTCCATTGTAGATGGTGACATTAATCCCAAGGGAAAGGAGCTCATCAACCTGCAAGGAAAGGTAAGACCAGATACATTTTGACATGTTGTTAACTACATTGGAATTAGTCTAGTTAGAATAAGCTAAGGTATTGAATTCAGTAGGTGAGAGGCACCTCTCTGATCCTTGGCCTCATGAAATCACTTGAAAGGGAATTAAAGACATCATCAGACTGATTTCCCCAGCTGCAAAAAGAAGGCAACAGCTCACAGTCAGCTATGAACCCATACTCATAGAATCTGTACTCAGAACTGATTGTAGAATAAACCATACCTTACAGTTTTTGGAATTATCTTAAGCTTTTCCCTGATCACACCATTCATGAGGCTTGAAATATCAACAGAGCTGGAAGCCTTGGAGCTCAGGTATGTTGGGTATGCCTTCATTGTTAGCTTCTCCGACTGCTGAACTGCTGTGAGAGAAATCGGATCGTCCGCCGAATCCAATAAGAAGTTATAAAAATCCTGTAAATGTTCAATATCATATTGAATTATCACAAAAATCCTTTTAACACTTCATTAGAAACTTATAGATTGGTAGAAGGCTACTGACAACTTTATTACTGCCGGAAATAATCAAGCCCTCCAGATCACTCCATGAGTTTGTGGCATCAAGAAATTGACCTTTCTCTATCTCTTGTCTAATCCTTTCAGCAATACTGAATTTTGCAACATTGCAAATTAGATCAAATTATGTTTGCTTGATAGGAAAAGAAGGAAAAAAAAGAGAGGAGTAGATTACATGTTTGACTTGTCTGCATCTTTGATGTCAAGCCTTGAGACATCTCGAAGTAGAGGCCCCCATGAGAACTGAATCACACAACAAAAGAGAGGAGGAAGGAAGATCACAGTTTGAACCAGGAACTGACTTGTTAGGAGAGCAAAAAGGCCATGAAGACTTGCCACAAAATCTTCAGGTGATATCCAGCTATCTCCCAAAGCAACACCTGCTCACATACAACAAATCGTGTTCTTGATGTCAAGATGTAGTAAGATGCAGATCAGGGAAAACACTACCTCCAAGCTTAAGCTTCAATTCCCCGGCCTTAATGGCTTCGACGATGGTCAAGGCGACGGTGACCGCGTACTTCCCTCCGTAAGACTCTGCTACGATGAAGAGTGGGCTGTTCCGCCATGACTCGTTCTCACCGTAGAGCTTCTTCAGAAGCGTAGTCAGGTCGACGGCTGCCTCCACATCTGTCCTCACGAAGAGGCTCTCGTCCTCCACGTAGCTGAATCCTGTTCCCACCGGGTTGTCCTACATTTCTCATTCGGTGGAAGGATCAAATGATTTGAAGGCACCGCAACGCAGCTTTCTTCATCGGACAGAGGACTCACCACAAAGAGGAGATCAGCTTTCTGAAGCCATGTCGATTTCCGAGGCTTCAAGTCGGCATCCAGCGGCCCGATCTCCTGGAAATTTCCGATCCCCACGCCCGAAGCACCCTTCCACCACGAAAACATGAATCAGAACTCAGATGTGGTTTCTGGTTTGTGGATTGTGCGTGTTAAAGGCGACTCACAGGCCCGCCCTGCAGCCATAGCACCGTCGGCCATGGAGTGGAGCCATTCTCGATCCTCTGCGGGCTCCGGTAGCGCCACCAGAACAGGTGAGCTTCTGCGTTTGCAAGACAATAACAAATCCATCACGTAAACGGATAGAGTTCGGTGCTCGGCGTTAACCATACACGAAATGGAAGATTACTCGGCCGGACTTCGACGTAGCCCCATTGCTCGGATCCGTCGGCAGTGCCGGTGGCAACGCAGATCTTAACGGAGAGAAGAAAACAGCAGAGGAGGAGAGGGAGGAGTAGACGAGCAGAAGAAGTCTTCACCATCGTAAAGGGGAAGTACGGAATGGAAGTCGACGAGAGTGCAACGCAGGGAAGGAGGAGCGTATGTGTGGAGGATATAAACAGATATGTTGGGATTGGAAGGCAATTAAATAGATAACGACAGGAAATATACATACAGATCCCATGCATTTAGAAGCCGATCGGGTAACAAACTATATCTATTATATATAGGAGGTTGGATTTCACGTACCGAACTGCCATAACATTGGGATTCGGCCGGCATTTTTGGGAAGCCGACAAATTCCATCATTTAAATATAGAAAGAAAACAATAGCCATTGAGATCTCGATCTCGGAAAACACGAATGTCGAAGAGATTGGGCATCGGAGAAATGGTTCCTGTGTTTCCGGTTGAGGGATTGGCGGAAGAAATTGGAGGGCTAAAGACCGATTCGACCCGATAATACGAATGTGACTAAATCGTATTTGATCTAAAGATGGAAATCTTTGACAAAAATAAATTTGAATTTATATTTATTGTCGGACATGAGGGGCGAATCCTTAGCCACGTAGACAAGATTCATCCCTCTCGCTATTCCTTCTCTTTCTTCCCTACTTTGACAACCTCATGATGGAAATCATGGACGAGAAGAATGGTGACATCTCAAGGTTTGATTTCTGGACTCGTGAAACATAAATGAAAAGAAAAGGAAAAGGCGTCTGTTTCCTTGTTCTTATCTCTTCACTGTTTTTGGCATCATCATCGCTCGACGGCGACGGAAGGAAGTATATGCAGAGAAGACGTGGGCAGAGATGGCGGCGAAGAGAGGACGAGGTATGGAGGGTTGAGGCACTATGGAGATCACAAATGGTTGGTGTTGGTGGAGAGAAAGATGATGGCAACGCAAACCATTAAGCCGGAGGAGGAGGAGGTGGTGGTGGTGGTGGTGGTGGAGACTAAAAAGATATTAGTAGTAAAATTGAAAGGTAAGCAAGCCGAGGTGGAAAGGCATTTTTGTCATTGCAAAAAAAAAATTTTTCGTCCAAATCCCCATATTCAACTTTATTATTGAAATTATAAATACAAATGTATTTTTCCATGGTAAATTATTTGGAAAACAAAAATAGCAAAAATTCTAACAAATGATCATTTTTATATTTTATTTTTTTTATTTTTAAGATTATTAGATAGACATCTCAAGAATAAGATATTTACATAAACACTCCGATTAAAAGAATATGATCGTTTCAATATACTCATTTATGAGGAATTTAAGAATGCAAAAGTAGTGTCAGAAATTTAGAAAATATTTTAATAAAAAAATAATTTGAAATAGATAATAGTAGAGAAATCCTATCCCTATCACCCGAAACATAATTAGAGGTTTTGAAAAGATTACACATATATAATTTTTACCTCTAACATCATCCATCCATATTTATCGATACGAAGTCGTAATATTTAAAATACAAGCCAAAAATACTATTGATCTATTTCAAAGTAATTATAATTATCTGTATGTTCGAGAATTAAGATTTAATGGTTTTTTTTTTCAAAAATCATAAAATAAAATCATCATCTTATGATAATCTATAGAGGTATAGGACAAAAAATAAACTCACATGCTATCATTTATTTTTCTTATTTTCGCTTTTATTCCTTCAATGTTAACATAAACAAAAACAGCATTTGTAATTTCCAAAAAAAGTATAGCCAAGTTGTGAAATAACTGGGCGAGCATCGAAGTCAAGATCACATCCTCCTCCAACATTGACTTTGAATGGGAGAAACGTGAGGAATAGTCGCTAGTCAGACATGATGAAGAGCAGCTCATTAATTCACCATCGGCCAAAAATTCAATGATAATTGCTGACCGACAGATTCCTCAACAGTTCTTTTCGGTGTTCATTGGATTCTCCGGTTTTTAGGTGTCAGTAAAGATTTATATACGTCACTTCAAAATTTGTAATGATAAATATGATATTTCCAAGTATTACAAGCACATATGCGTTGACCGAAAACGAGAGAGAGAGAGAGAGAGAAGAAGAAGAAGAAGATGATGATGATGATGGTGGTGGTGGTGAAACATCTCCGAGCGTTTGTCACACACCTACCGAAACATGAAATGTCATGTGAAGGCGATGGGTACGATCCAAGCATGTGGATGTTCGTCCATCAGCGTCGTCAATGTGACCATCCAATGTGCGTTGTCATGCGATCATGTCATCAGTCAACACTTTTATTTACTTACTGATATTTCATATCATATTATTCAAACAATTCGTCCTCTCGCTGGATCACCTGATTTGGGTGGTGTTTTGGTCAACATGTTTGACCGTAGTTGTTGTGGGATTTTACGTATCTATCTTTTAAAATTAAAACTAAGGCTCCCCATCGAGTAATAGTTAAATCACGATTAACTCGTGGATATTACTTACCAATGTATTCATATGTCCTAATTCAAAGATTATAACTATATAATTGTATGGTAAACTTAAATCTAAGAGACAAATGCAAAATTCATGAGGAATATTGACTTTCATTTTAAAATATCAATTTTGGCTCTTCGAAATTCAAAATATCAATATTGACTTTCACGAGGAATATTGACTTCTTAGTCAAGAAGTTGAGGAAATTCACAACCTCTATGTTCTTTCCTCGGTTCGATTCAAGAAATTAGAATTGTTTTCGATCAATCAAGCAAACATCGTAAAAAATACAAAAAAAAAATACACATAAATATATTTTTAATATATATAATATTTGCAAAGATAGAAAAAACTAAATCCCTAAGATTTTTATATAATGTTTCGGTATTTACAAATGCTCAAACTAAATCCTTCATGACCTATGTCCCTACCTCAATCCAGGGGCATCAGGGAAAAAGAGTAATGCAAGATAGCATTTACAATATGGTTGAACAAAGAATTGTATTCCACATAATTTACTTTTATCATCAAAAGCAATCGTGGAACATTTTGCTGCTCACTAAAAAAAGGCAGCAAGCGAAGACATATATATCGACAATAAAAAATTCTAACGCTCATGAACATATGCCAATCGCTCAACTCATTTTTTTTCTTTGTCGTGTCCAAGTTCATGTACTACAGAATAGAGTAGGCTCGGACGACTTCGACGATAGGTGCACGACACAGTGGGCACCTTTCTCCCCTTCCAAGTAGCTCATGAGCACACTTTGAACAAGCGCACATGTGCCCACATCTGATAAAGTAGAGAAACGAAAATTATATCATTGTGTATTTATGATGTGATTCTTTCTATCTTAAGAGGAAGATACACATACCTGTAGAGAAGGGAATCAATATGATTGTCGCAACAGACACAACATGTCCCTTTCCTTACTTGACTCCACTTGTATCCATCCTTAGATGATTGCTCGATAAACCCTGAAGCACACAAAAGCCCAACCATTACGAGAGGCACATAATGACTCCAAACTCAACTATAATGAATGTTGTTGACTACAACCAAATGTACGCCTATCTATCTATCTATCTATCTATACATTAGCCATCTTTCTTAATCTACTAAGTCCCAAAAACCTAGAATATCTCAATGTTATATGGGATGTTTAGAAAGTCTATCCAGTTTTCATCCAAGGACATCATAGATACAAGGAAAAAAAGTTTGCTGATGCCTTCATAGCATGCATAACGAAGTTGCTGCTTAAGGACTTTCCCTTATTGTCAAACTTCTACTGTTTTCTTGTTTCCTTGAAACCTTTAATCCCTTGTGCTTCCCTGCCACAATCTTAACTAATTAATGTGCACCTTTGTGTTAGTATCTACTTCATGACGCTGCTCGTCGCATGTATTAATTGATACAAACCAAGCTTGACCGAACAACTTGACTCAGGCTCCACCATGGTTCAATTTGGTGTTCACAATTAGTTCTAAAGGAAAGGAACATTGATCATAAAAGAAATATCGAAGTGATCAACAGATGGAACTCGGAAGCACGCTAAGATGCATAAACCAACTTTTTAATCCAACAAGCCTTAAGAGAATAAACCTTTTGTCCATAGAAAAATTAATGATGATCTCAAAGAAGAAATGACACTAACCTTCTCCAGCAGATCGATTCAAAGCTGCAGAAACTTCCTGTCTAACCGCGCGCTGTAACTCTATTTGCATATCCATGCAAGATTCCAACATCCTCTGCATCTCACTCATCCCTTGTTGTAGGCTAGTCATTTCTGCCCTCAAGTCATTAATAGCATCCCGTTCCTGAAATATACAGTAGCAGTCAAACAAACACATGATGCATGAACTTGTATATTTAATATAGTTTAAGCTTCATGGCAACAAATGAATTTCCTGAAGCCACAAATAAGAAATGCTTCAGGTAAGAGTCAAACTGCAAAAGAAAAGAGAATGAAATACCACCACTAACAAATAAAATCAATTATAGTGATCACCGGCATCATGGTTAAATTCAGAATCTGAATCAAAAAAAGAAAGAGGAGAGTTGATGCCCATCATTTGATTTGGAAAATTGAGCACCAATGCAAAAAATCATCATTCAGTTTCAAGCATCATCATTGACCGATTGTAAAAACAGTGAATGAATGATGACAGAATTTGTGTTGCCAAAGAAAAATATATATGAGAAAGACAGCACACAATTTCTGAATGGCAATGCATGTTTTGTCTAACCCAAGTGTTGTGATGCAGGTTCGAGTGCCATAGTGGTGGTGGTGGTGGCGGCAAAGGTGGAGGTTGAAACACATTAGACCGCCCGGCAGTGCTATCCTGAATGGCCTGATCTGAATCGTCCTGTCGTTGGTCCTGAGTTTCCTCCCGAATGGGGGCAACCGGTGGTCTATACAGATCCCAATCAAATGAAAGTCTACCTTGTTGTTCAATATAGGATTCTATCAACTGCTGTTCTAAAGTTTCACGGAACGTACTGCGAAGAAGGTTGGATACGCTCCTCCTGCAAATGACAAAAGACTTGGACAAATCAATAACAAATAAGAACGGTAACCATTAATCATGAAGAATTAGCAATACCTGCTAAGGAGTTCCCTGAGTTCCACATTGTATACTTCTTCATCAGGTGGAATAAATCTGTTGCCACTTGTAGGTGGACTAGAAGACCTTTGATCTATTAGGGGATCTGTGTGTTCG